TTCCATCTTTGTATTAAGGTTGATTCGACACCACCAACAGTTGGAACATTTGCTGTAGACACCGACCACGCAGCCGACCTAGACAGACACCAGATGGGTTGGATGACCTGGCGTCAGACCACACCTACTAATGGTGTGCTAAATCTTGCTTGGCTTGGATTTGTTGATCCTCACTCTGATGTAAGCTGCTACTACTTCACTGTTGGTAGCAGATACTCAGCATCCGACTTTTCTCCTGTAAGTATGTTTAGTTTTTTCAAATATTTAGTTGATGAATAAAAACTGTGTATTGGAAAATTTCCCATTCTGCACGATGATCACTTAAGCATTACCTCACCCTTTAATTATCATCATTATTGTTGTGTATTTATGCAACCCCATTGAGTCAGCTTGTAAGATTTTATTCACATTAATTTACTCAAACTCTGCCATCATCATCGTCGTCATCATCATCATCATTGCCATTGTCGCCGACGTCGTCTTCACTATTATTATTTTCATCACCATCATTATCAGAACCACAGCAAAAATTTCATCATCGATCTAAATTATATTTACATAACATGGACGTTGAATAATTTCTTCGATTGCTTTTGTTGTGTAGGCTGCATATGTAAGGAAACTAATATAAGCAATTCATATTTTACACAGGATGGGCCTATTGAAGTCGTTCCAGACAACAGTACCGGTACTATAGTTGTTGATGGTGACAAAGTTTACATGGCATCAATACCTGTAAAAGGTGACATCCAATCAACGGTTGTGTTGTATATTTCACTTTGGGCTTTTAATGGAGTAAGTAGCCCGATTGAATGTATTAAATAAAAGTAATTTTGCAGGGAATTATAATCACTCCTATACAATACCAGAGCTATTGGAAGCATTTTGCAAGTGGTCTAGTCAGTATAGAAAGAGCAGGGGGTAGGGGTGCTTAAACTTTTAAAATACGGCACCCTAGACAGTGGCGTAACTAGTTTCCGAGGTGCCCTGGTTCGATAGTACAGTCGAGGCCGCTCAGGTAACAAAGCTTTAAGTTAACATCTTTACTGAATCAATCCATAAAAAAAACCATAAACCATACCCCACTGAACACCATCCCTACTTCTGTGTCTAGAATTCGGGATCAGAAAACATTTATGAAAGCGAATTATTTACAATTCATAACTATTTTACTGAAGGAATCAACCGTACACTGCTGAATACCATTCTGGTATTTCTGAGTCCTAGGTTTCAGAGCCGGAATATTGCTCAATATGATACAAATATAGATAA